ACAAACTGTTTTTAGTGACATGATGGGAACAAGTTGTCTTCTCATCAGGATGTGCCAATTCAATTAAGAAGCCACTGTAATAATTGGGTTCAAGTATTTCACTGCCCTTGTTACACATTACTAAAGCCAAAATTAAAATAGCCACAGACGTCAAGAGTTTCAAGTTTAACCATTGCTGGGGACCAGGAAAAGTCACATTGCACTGCACAGTTGAAGATTCATCATGCAAGCCACTTTCCTCAACAGATTCGATCAATCTATTTGGAACTGGAATTGCAGTCAATAGGTCAAGAACTGCAATTCAGAGTGCATGTTTACTTAACATATCATCACAGTCCCTTAAAGTAGCTCTCTCACAGGACTGAGGAAGGTTCTATAGTTGGAAAACTGGGTAGGTTTTGTGTTCAGTCAAGAACGGCCATTAGTCTAAAACCAAAAATTAAAGAAAACGGATGCAAAGTGACAAATCAAGATTGAATGGAAGGCCCATTGTGGCGGTGGAGGGAACTAATGTTTCCTCCCATCCCCATTTGTTACTGTTTGGAAGACTCTTCTGTTCTTGCTGGCGGCAAGCCTGAAGACAAGAAGGGCATTAAATGAGGCTTTCTTACTGAAGGTCTTATACCCTCCCCACTGGAGCCGAGCTCAATGGAAGGTCAATCTTCCCAACTCACTGATGAGATTATCCCAGCTGCAGGTTAGAAAATACATCAGGGCAGGGTGTGAGTCATCCTTTGTTCTTGCCACTGATCATCCATTTCCCCACAACCCAACCCCATTCTCAGCTAATGATCCTTTGATCATGAGAACTGGGACAATTTTTCCAGCTGTAGCAGCTATAACTTCCCCATTGGCATTGCTGAACACAAGCACACCCAACGTCTGATGACTAACAGCATTTGTTAAGAAAGACCTCTGCTCCAGAGCAAGGCTTGCCAGCTGCTGCATCTGGACTGTTGTGTGCACTCAGCCCACACTGCAATCAGCAGTTGGTGGTTTGGAAATATTCAACAGGATCACATGTGGTTCTGCCTTTAGACCCAGTGTCACATGGCAGCATTATTGAAAAGTGCTTATATTAGCAAGACAAATTACACAAGCTCCACAACCTTGCCAGTTCAGAAGGCAGAAATTGGGATTCTTCAGCCAGCATCATGGCTTTGAGTTCCATGATAAATAACATGTTTACTTTTAAATTCTTTAAATTTCATACCTGTTCCTCCCAGGCACTTGAATTTATTACTTATTTGAAAAGTATTGGTTTATTTAACAATTCACATTCCTTAAAAGTAAATTCTCCATCAAAAATAAAGTTCAAACTAAACTATAATTAGTCAAATTTGCCTATGAGAACTCCATTGGAGCATAATTCAAAACAAAATTTTAAAAATTACAAATATTAACAATGTTTCAGAGATAGTAGGAACTGCAGATGCTGGAGAATCTGAGATAACAAGGGGTAGAGCTGGATGAACACAGCAGGCCAAGCAGCATCAGAGGAGTAAGAAAGCTGAAATTTCTGAAGAAGGGTCTTGACCCGAAACGTCAGCTTTCCTGCTCCTCTGATGCTGCTCGGCCTGCTGTGTTCATCCAGCTCTACACCTTGTTATCTTAAATATTAACAATCATGCTTTTGAATAATTATTCAACTTGCAACTCCCCCCTCCCCGCCACCAAGTTATGACTGTTTCCTTTCCAGGTGGATTGGAAAACTACATTAAAAGGCTTGATGGTAGATAGGCTGCGGTTAGCATTTAAATGCTCGATTTTCAAAAACACGTGACCAAGGGTAGCATTAGAGCACGAGCAAAGCTGGAATCAATTGGTATCAGGGAGAAAACTCTCCGGTAGTTGTAGTCATACCCGACACATACGAAACTGGTTGTGATTGTTGGAGGTCAGTCACCTCAGCTCCAGGACATCTCTGCAGGAGTTGCTCAGTGTAGTGTCCTCGGCTCAATCATCTTCAGCTGCTTCATCAATGACCTTCCCTCTATCATAAGGTCAGAGGTAGGAATGTCATTGATGATTGTACAACATTCAGCACCATTTGTGACCCCTCAGACACTGAAGCAGTCCATGTCCAAACGCAACAAGATCTGGACAATATCCAGGCTTCGGCTAACCACTGGCAAGGAACATTCACACCACACAAATGCCAGGCTATGTTTCTTACTGATGATGGTCAATCTAAGCACTGCCTCTTGATATTCAATGGCGTTAACATCACTGAATCCTCCACTATCAACATCCTGGGAGTTATCATTGATCAAAAACTCAACTGGACTCACCACATAAACACAGTGGCTACAAGAGCAGGTCAGAAGCTAGGAATAATGCAGCGAGCAACTCACCGCCTGACTCCCCAAAGCCTGTCCACCATCTACAAGGCACACGTCAGGAGTGTGATGGAATACTCCCCACTTGCCTGGATGAGTGCAGCCCCAACAACACTCAAGAAGCTTGACACCATCCAGGACAAAGTAGCCGCTTGATTGGCACCACGTCCACACCCTCCACCACCAAAGCTCAGTAGCAGCAGTGTGTACTATCTACAAGATGCACTGCAGAAATTCACCAAAGATCCTCAAACAGCACCTTCCAAACCCACGACCACTTCCATCTAGAAGGACAAGGGCACCAGATATGGGAACATCACCAGCTTCAAGCTCCCCTCCAAGTCATTCACTATCCTGACTTGGAAATATATCTCCATTCCTTCACTGTCGCTGGGTCAAAATCCTGGAATTCCCTCATTAAGGGCATTGTAGGTCAACCCCCAGCAGGTGGACTGCAGCGGTTCAAGAAGGCAGCTCACCACCACCTTCTCAAGGGCAGCTAGAGACGGGCAATAAATGCTGGCCCAACCAGCGACACCCACATCCCACAAAAATGAATAAATAGAATGTATTCCTAGAAGGCAAAAACATCTAAAGATGTGGCTAGCAAGGGAAGTGAAGATTGTATCTGATCAGGGGAAGCAGCTTAATTTAAGCTGCAAAGATGGTCCGGTACATGAGCTTGTGAAATGTTTTTGTTATAGTTTCCTGGTTCAATGCACTGTGGAACCAGCTAGAGATGAAACCATTTTACATCTAATATGCTGCAATGAGACAGTCTCTCAGTAAAAGATTCAGAGGAATTAAGTGACCATAATACAATAGAATCACATATCAAGTCCAAAAGTGACATTCCGAAATTGCAGTGTAGAAGTCATAGCAATTATCCTAGTCCCAAAACATTTTTTGTATAAATTTTGAATAAGTCCACTCCTTTATTCACCACAGCTTATTCTCATTACTAGTCAGCATCAATTTTTTACCCCACAATTGCTTGTGTTATTTACCAATACTTTATAACTATGCTCAAGGGGTCCAGCAAGTAAAACAGTCAGTATTGACAAACTGCAACTGTTTAAGATTTGCTCATTCTGCATCAGATACCCATGGCTTTTCAAAATTGTGACCCAATTTTGACCAGTAAACTAGTCCTTCAGGAGGGAAAAAAGACAGTATTATAATGGGCAACAAAGGAAACAGCAGAGACATGGATCAAATATTTTGTGTCTGTTTTCACAGAAGACAAATTGCATACTAGATATAAGGGATAACCAAGGGGCTAACAAGTGAGGAATTGAAAGTCATTAACTGAGAAACGGTATGAAGAAACTTAGGGGAAATACTGCAAAATTCCAAGAACATGATGGCCTGGTAACAGGTTACAGTTTTCTAAAGATGCCCTTGATTCTAGAACTGTTTCAGAGGGATTCTAAGGTAGCAAATGTAACCTCTATTCAAGAAAGGAGGGAAAAGAAATAAAACAAAATGGCAGCTCGTGACTACAATCGTTGGGAAGTTTTAATGTATTTAGAAAAATACAAACTGATCAGACAAAAGCAACATACAGTCCAATGTACAGCACGGGAATAGACGCTTCAGTCCAACTCGCCCATGCCGACCAGATATCCTAAATTCATCCAGTCCATTTGCCAACATTTGGCCCATATTCCTCTAAACCCTTCTTATTCATGTATTCATCCAAAGGTCTTTTAAATGTAACGTGGTTTTACAAAAGGGTCATTGTGTTCGAGGATGAACTAGTAGTGTAGATAAAAAGGAACAGATGTAGTATTCTTGGATTTCTAAAAAGCATACGATAAGGTTACAGCAGCAATAAACGTGACAAGTGCCACAATAACCAGTGCATGTTGCAGGAGCTGACATTATCAATTGAATAACTGTGTACAGGAACAAGAATTTCTTAGTTTAAGAATGAAAGGTAAACCTTTTAGGACTGAGAGGGGGAAAAATTTCTTCACCCAGAGAATGGTGAGCCTGTGGAATTCACTACCACAGAAAGTGATTGAGGCCAAAACATTGTTTAAAGGACGTAGATGTTGCTTATGGCTAAAGGGATCAAGTGCTGGGGTAGGGGGAAAGATATAGAAAGGGTGAGGAGGGGGGATTACAATATTGAGTAAGATGGTCACATTGAATGGTGGTGCAGGCTTGAGGGGTTGAATGACCTACTCCTGCTCCTATGATTCTATATAATGAACTAGAGATATGCATGCATGAGTTAAGAGAATTTATGATTGATTATGGACCAGAGCCAGTACTTCGTGATTTTGTGGAAAAAAATCTAGCAACTCGTGAAAGCTCGAATTTTGCACTATTAAATATTCAAATGACAGTTTAAGTAGCTCCAACACTAACATTTAAAATCACTTTCATACACAAGTTGAATACAGCACACACAATAAATTGATTTAAAACTCTATTTCCAAGTTAGTCTGTCCTTTTGCTTGTAGTAATATGATGTTTTTGTATAGCAGTTTTTCAAAAAAAAACAAAACAGGATATTGATAAAACCGGTCATTACTGCTATAAGAGACAGATTAAAGTGCCACTCTCACTAATTAGTACTTGACAAAAGCAAAAACATGTAGAGTCAGTTAGTTAAGTGAAAAGTATTATATAATAAAGATCAGCAAGCCTTACCTACCAGGGGTAGGGTAATTTCTAGCCATCATTTAAACCTAGTAAGGAAAAATTCAGAGAGCAGCTGACATGAAAGTACAAGACTTGAAGCCAGTAAAGATTTTGAAACTCCAACAGGAATTAAAATCAGCAATAGATATATACCTAAGTCTATATATAATTTCCCAACTATTACAGCTAATCTCAATATTATGCTATTTCATACTGTTAAAAACATTTGAAGTATACATCTTAGCGCAAATAAATCCCAAAGGCAAAATTAAATTTGGGTTCTTTTGAACATTACACGCTACTCAAAATAAATTATATCCTCCATTATTACAGTAGTTAAGCATGTTTATCTAGTTATATATAGAAAGTGACAATCAGCCCAAATACCACTGACCCAGAACATTAGACAAATGCAACAGCTTATAGTGTTTGAGGAATTATTGCAAGAGTGGTGAAGAAGGGGAATGTGCAATTACAGCTGGGTGTAGTGGCCTAGAGGAAATCAATTAAAAATGTTCTACTGGCTCTCACGTTTCTTTGCTGAGAAGCAGAGTCCAACCACAGTCTTAATTTCAACCTGTGGTGTGAAAAATTCTACATCAGATTTAGAAACATGCTGCAGCACCTGTATTGGCGATTTATTTTGGCATACCCCAAAGCCTGGACTCTCAAGTATTCAACATCTGGACAGAATTTCCAGATAAAAGCTCTCTTCTCATCTCCCTTTTGGTCACTGAGCTCACTGTTATTGCCATTCAATTGAGCTCTCACTTTATCCTCAAAACAGATCTATCAATTTGCAAATTTAGCCCTTTCCAAAAACATATGGCCCATCAACCGAATACAAAATTCCATTGAGAAAATCCCAAAAAGCTAGCAATACAACAAAAACCTTCACCATTCATTCAGCACTTAAAATCTTGGAAGAGTTGCCCTGATTTTCAAATAAGCAATAGGTACCTGTATGCTCCTCCTTTTTAACCAGCCTCTCAGATGTGTATATGCCCACCCAAATAAAAAGCCACATGTAGCAATTTTTTGCAGCCCATTCACTTTCGCAAACCTTAAACCAATACTTCCATCCAGTTCTCGAGACTGCTTCTCAAGTTCACTCTCTCTTCTGTAGCATTTGTCGTCCATCCCACTAATCTGTCACCATTAATCTATATCACTTCACCTAAGTCAGCCACTAATAAGGAAATATATTCACGTTAAACTGCTGAATTTAATGCAGTTTTCGAAGTGAAAAGCTATTGATATTTTGAGCTCTGTTCTCCATGTTAAACAAGCAGTTGCTAAGTGCCCAACAATCTCCAGTTCAAGAAGAATGAACTAGAAATTACTCCATGTAAATTATGTACGCACTAAGCAGAAACTGGGGAGGTGCTATGTACAAAAAACCCAAAGAACTGCAGATGCTGGAAATAAAAATAAAAACAAAAACTGCTGGAAATTTGGCAGCATCTGTGAAGAGAAAAGGTTAACCTGGGAGAATCAAGAGCTGATGGGGACATTAGTAGCTGACAACGGGTTGTTTGTGGTAGCAGCATACTTGATAAGGCCTGGTGTGTTGGGTTTGGTGGTGGTGGTGGTGGTGGTGGTGGGGGTTAAGGACATGGGGAAGGTGTTCAGGCCCTAAAATTATTGTCCTCGATAGAAGGCTGCAGAGTTTCCAAATGGAAAACGAGATGCTGTTCTTCCAGCTTGCGCCATGCTTCACTGCAGCAGGTCTGAGACACAGATGTTGGTCAGGGGACACGGTGGTGTGTTGCAGGCAATCACAAGATCAGGATCATTTTTGTGGATAGAAAGCAGGTGGTGTTCTGCAAAGTTGTCATACAGTCTGCACTTTTTCTCCCCAGTAGAGACCACATTGTGTACAGCAAATACAATAAACTATTCTGAGTGAAGTACAAATAAATCACAGCTTCACCTGCAAGGTGCATCTGGAAGCTTGGAGGGAGGTGGCAAACAGGCAGGTATTACAGTGCCTTGAGGGTATTGGGAGGATTTGGGAGTGGAGGAGTGAACCAAGGTGCCCTGGAGAGAACAGTCCGTGTGGATGGCTGAAAAAGGCATGTATATCTGGTGATGGCAGCCCCATTTGAGGAGGCAAAAATGGTGGCTAATAATCCCTTAGATGTGGATGCTGATAGGGTGGCAAGTGAAGACCCTATTGGTGTTGTGAAGGGAAGAGAAGGGGTGAGGGCAGAAGTGCGGAAGATGAGTAGGACATGGCTGAGGCTGCTGTCACCCATGGTGGTGGGGAATCCTCAGTTGTGGAAGATGGTAGATATTTCAAGGCCCTCTTGTAGAAGCTGCTATAGTCGGATCAGATACAATGGAAAAACTGGGACAATGCAATGGAGTCTTTACAGGAAGGAGGATGTGAGGATGTATAGTCCAGGTGACGGTGGGAGTCGATGGGTTTGTTGGTGTTAGGTATATCCAGAACATGGAGATTCACTTTCACAAGGAGTGCAAATATGTTTTGTAGAGAAAATATTTTCACCTTTGATAGCTGAGCAATAACTATTGCACATGCACGCCACAAATGTTGGGTGACAAAGTTTTTTTTGTATTTGTGACAATACCTCACTATGTTCTTTAATCAACTTACAAACAAGGCCTTTCCTTCACTTTAAATCATATTGTGCTGAATTACAAAAATTGAGAGCTCTTAGAAATATTACAGAATGATGACAGAATTACATCAATTTTAACAAACCAGAGTGTTTACTGGTTTTCTCAACATCTAGCTTTTTGGCTATCAGCTCATTTTGTGACATATTCAGTTCTCCTTGATCTAAACACTCTTAGCGTCACACCATTTCATGCCCAACAGAAACTCATCAATTCTGAAACAGAAGCAAAACACAATGGATCCAACAAACCAACTACAAACTGAAAATGCAGGAGAAACTCGGGAGGTCAGGCAGCAACTCTGGACAGAGTCAATGCCATAGAGATCTACAGCTCAGAAATAAGCTAGAGTCTGCGCTGGTCAAAAACAACCGCAACTATTTTAATACCATTTTCCAGCATTTTGCCCATAGCCTTGTATGCCTTGGCATGAAGTGCACATCTAAACAGTTCTTTAAAATCAAGGTTTTTGATAAGACTTGTAGCTTAGGTTGTTGATGTTGTTGTTGACTTGCTCGCCAACTGGCAAGTCTGTTCACAAACATTTCATCACCATACTAGGTACCATCATCAGTGCGCCTCCAGTGAAGCATCAGTGTGGAGTCCCACTTGCTATTTGTGCGTCTCGGTTTCCTGGAGTGGGTGACATCACTTTTGGATTTGTTTCTTAGTGGTTGGTATATGGGGTCCAGCTCCGTGTTTGTTAATTGAGTTCTGGTTTGAGTGCCAGGCCTCCAGGAATGGTAACGTGTGTCTTTGCTTGGTTGGTCATAGGACGGCTACGCTGTCCCAGTTGAATTGGTGTCCCTCTTTGAGTGATAGTTGGTTCTCTCCCTTGGTAGCTAGTTGGTGTTCATGAATTGTGACGGCTAGTTTCTTTCAGGTTGCCCTATGTAATGTTTTTGGCAGTCTGTGCATGGTATCTTGTAAATAACGTTGGTTGTGTTAGTTATGGCTGTTGGATCCTTTATTCTTGTCAGTAGCTGTCGGTCTGTGAGCTAGCAATGATGGCGGTCATCTCATATATCCTTAATGTATGATACAGTGACCAGTGTCTCTGGACATATTGTCATCCTGTTGTGTAGGTATCAGCGGACTACGCTTTTCAGGTAACCATTAATTCTAAAGACGCTGTATAGGTGTTCTGCCTCGGCTTTGCACAGCTCCGGGGCGCTGCAGTGCGTTGTGGCTCACTTGAACAGTGTTTTGATGCAGTTCTGTTTGTGGGTATTGGGATGATTGCTGTTGTTGCTGATCCATACGGACGGCCTTCCTGTGCACTGGTCTGGAGCTCATTGTTGGCAATTACGCCCAGGAAGACAAGTTTGTTGTTGTTCTCCTCTTCCCTGGTGAATTTTATGCCAGTGAGGATGTTGTTTATGACTAGATGGGTTTACTCCAGTTTAGAGCATTTGACGATCACAAATTGTGGAAGACACCTTTGTGATTATTTACAAGATACCATGAAAAGACTGCCAAAAACATTACATAGGACAAACTAGCCATCAGGATTCATGAACATCAACTAGCTACCAAGAGACATGACCAACTATCACTCATTTCAATACACATGAACAAAGAGGCTCACCAATTCAACTGGGACAACATAGCCATCCTAGGACAAGCCAAGCAAAGACACGCACAAGAATTTGTGGAGTCCTAGCACTCAAACTAGAACTCCATTAACAAACATGTAGAACTGGACCCCAAATACCAACCACTAAGAAACAAATCTGGAAGTGATGCCATCCACCCCAGCAAACTGAGAAACACAAATAGCAAGTGGGACAGAACACCATGCTTCACCAGAGGAACACTGATGATGTTACCTAGTATGATCACGAATCTTTTATGAACAAACTTCCCAGCTCAGCGAGCAAGTCAACAATCGTTCTTTAAATGTTTGAAGGTTTCTGCCTCTACCAGCCTTGGAGGCAGTGAACTCCAGATTCCCACCACCTTGTAAATGAAAAAGCATCTCCTCACCACTTCTAAATCTCCTGCCCCTTACCTTACATCTATGCCCCTAGTCACTGATGCCTCCAAAAAGGGAAAATTTCCTTCCTGTCTACCCTATGCCCCATATAATTTAGAACACATTTTTATGTAGAGAGTTAATGTTTTATATTGAGGTGGCTTTTCATTTGCAGATGTCCTTTCATAATCTCTAATTTGTCATGTATTAATCTTCCCAATCACGCATCTCCAGTATGTTTTCTTTCCAAATCTAAATTCTGAGAACTGAAGAAGATTTTCTTCCCTTCATTAAATCCAACCTGTTAAATACATCAGTATTGTTAGTATCTCAAATTCTTGAGCGCAAAAGGAAAATATCTGACAAAGCAACCCAGGTCTTGGGTAGCCAACTTCCAATTTCTCTTCCACACTCATGGTTTTCATCTTTCTGGAACCAGAAAACTACAGCACAGAATGAAGGCATTTGTGCCCATACAGAACCTTGGGAAAACCTATCAGAATAGTCTCATTTCCTGTTCTTACCCAATAACCCTGCAACGATTCCCCTTCAAATAGTCATTGAATCACTTTTAAAAGAAAAGTTAAGGAACCCTGCTTCTAGTAACCTTTCAGACACTACATTGCAGATTACAATGCAATACAAACATTTCTCATCTCAGCCCTGGTACTTTTTGCCAATTATTTTTAGTTGGTGGCCTGTGATTGTCAAGCCTCTGTCAGTGGAAGCAATTTCTTATTTCAATCAAAATCCTTCATGACATCTCCATTAAACTTCTCTGCTCAAGGAGAACAAGTGCAAATTCTAGTCTCTCTATTGACAAAGTCTCACCAGATTATAACTGTAACATTTAGCAATTTTGCACCTTTATTCAACTCAAAAGAAGAGACTATGGTACATGACAGGCCTATTTCTGCTCTGTTTAATACTGCTCACAGCAGGTTTACCTGCAAACACCACTCTGTACATAGTTTAGTTGGATGAAGACTTGGGGAAAAAATGGTTCAAAATCATTTTCAGTGTTGGCTGCAATTGAAAACCCCAATAAAAAGTAAGAGTGTATAAAATAGTTCATAGTAATGCTCACATTCACAAATAATGTACATAAAGTTTTTGCATGGCACTAGCACTTCTGGAAATTATTTTTTTTTTTTAAAAACAGGAAGTTAATTCAAATTCCCACCTTGGGGTCATAATCAGGGTCATTTTCTTCATCTGCTTCTTCCTCCCCTTCCTGTTTAAAATAAAGAGGACAATGAAAATGATCTAACATTTTCTAGAGTCAGCAGGACAAACAAACCACTATGGATGACATGCTCATTTGCACTATTGTCAGTAGAAACATTTTCCCAAGCAACTGTCCCATCATAAAATGGAAAACAATTACCTCATCATCTGCCTCTTCACCCTCCTCATCGTACTGTGTGAAAGAAAAGGAAATTTTCAGGTTGATATTTCCATTCCATATTCAATTAGAATCATTGCCATAGTGGGAACTGTACAGACTTATCAAGTCTGTTTGCATAACCCGAGTCATTTTCATTACTATGAAAGCAAAACAAGGCAGATTCTGGAAATATGAGACAAGGAAAGTGCTGGAGAGACTCAGGAGGTTTGGCAGCATTTGTTAAACATGTTAATTCTGTTTCTCTCTCCATGGAAACACCCAGGCCTGTTAAGTTTCACCAGCAATTTGTTTGTTTTCAACAGCCTTATTCTAACACCACCATTCAGCACCGAATTATTTGCAAAATGTTTAACTGTGCATAATTTTAAGAACTCAATTGAAAGCCCTTTAAATTTTGTGCTTAACAAAGATATAATGGACCCAGATATCAAGGCAGGTGCATATCCACTACCAAGGACATGGATAGCAATATTGTAGCAACATTTAAGGCTTCCTTTGATGGAAGTAGCCTCACAGACAATACATCTACTTATTAAGATTTCTGTATAACAGTGCAAACAGTTGAGATTGACTGATGTACAAGATTTACTCACATTTTGCAAAGTATGGACTTAAGGATAGCCAGCATAGCTTTGTGTGGGAGGGGAAGAGGTCTTGTCTCAATCAAATTTGATTGAGTTTTTTGAGGAAGTGAAGATGATTGATGAGGATAGTAAATAATATCTACATGGACTTGACTAAAGCATTTGACAAGGTCCCTCCCTCACAATAGACTGGTCCATAAGATCAAATCGCATGGAATCCATGGTGAGTTAGCAAGTTGGATACAAAATTGGCTTGATCATAGAAAACAGAGGATTACTGTGGAGGAGTGTTGTCTGACTGGAGGTCTGTGACCAATGGTGTTCCGCAAGGATCAGTCCTAGGACTTCTGTTGTTGGTAATTAATAAATATATTTGCATGAAGGCACAGGTAGAGCCATAGATTAGCAAGTTTGCAGACAAAATAAATATAGTTGTGAATTGTGAGGAAGGTTATCAAAGGGTACAGCAGTACATGGATCAGTTGGAATGTTGGGTGGAAAAATGGCAGATGGAGTTTAATTTGGGCAAGCATGTGGTGATGCATTGAGGTGTTAAATGCAAAAGCAAAGTTGACAGTAAAAGGCAGGACCCTTAGGAGCATTGAGATACAAAGGGATCTTGGGCTGCAAGTCTATAGCTCTCAAAGTAGCAACACAAGTGGATAAGGCGGTAAAGAAGGTATATGGCATGCTTGCCTTCAGTCAGAATACGGAGTATAAAAGCTAGTAAGTCATGTTGCAGCTACAAAAAACTTTGACTAAGTCACATTTGGAGTACTGTATGCAGTTCTGGTTTTTTCTTCCTATTCACTTGTGGGATGTAGGCGTTGTTGGCTGCCCAGCATTTACTGCCCATCTCTAAGTTGCCCTTGAGAAGGTGGTGGTGAGCTGCCTTCTTGAACTGCTGCAGTCCTCCTGCTGTAGGTTGACCCACAATGCTATTAGGGAGGGAATTCCAGGATTTTGAACCAGCGACAGAAGGAACAGCCATATATTTCTAAGTCAGGATAGTGAGCGGCTTGGAGGGGACCTTGAAAGTGGTGGTCTTCCCATGTCTGCTGCCCTTGTCCTTCTAGAAGAAAGCCGTGGGTTTGGAAGGTGCTGTCTGAGGATCTTCAGTAAATTTCTGCAGTGCATCTTGGAGATAGTAGCAGCAGTGTGTACTGAGTGTTGGAGGAGGAGGGAGTGGATGCTTGTGCATGTAGTGCCAATCAAGCGGGGGCTGCTTTGTCCTGGATGATGTCAAGCTTCATGAGTATTGTTGGAGCTACACCCATCCAGACAAGTGGGGAGAATTCCATCACACTCCTGACTTGTGCCTTGTAGATGGTGGACAGGCTTTCAGGAGCCTGCGAGAGGGTTGGGGGGGAGGGGATTTACCAGGATGTTGCCTAAATTGAAGTGTAATCAGTCGTAAGGAGAGGCTGGAAAAACTTGGATTGTTTTCACTACAGTGCCAGAGGCTAAGGGATAACCCGATAGAAGTACATAGAATTAGGGGAAGCATGGATAGGGTGGATTAGGGTCTTTCTGCCCCATGCCTCCACCCCCACCCACAGTCTTTGTTGAGGGTGTGCAGCAAGGTAAGGGTAAGGCAAGGCTGTTTTTGTTCCCCAAGTCTGCCAGTTGTTAAAAGAGCAGAGTTGGCAGTCAGTGGACTGGTATGCTTCTCCTAATGGATGTGGGAGATCAAGAAGCAGTCAAGTGTCCCTGGCAACTATATCTGCAGGATGTGTGAATAAAGGGGAGTTAGTCAGGAAGTTTAAAAAGCAGGATCTGGAGGGTAGTAATCTTGGATTATTCCCGGTGCCAGGCGCTATGAGAGTAGGAATAGAACGAGAAGGCAGATGAATGCATGGCTGAGTTGCTGGTTGAGGGGGCAGAGGTACAAAAGGGACAGTTGCACCTAAACAAGAGGGTAACAAATGTCCTGGCGGGGCGATTTGCTAGAGCTACTTGTCTGGCAGGGGGATGGGACCCTAAGCTGTAGTGAGTCAAGACGGAAGGTTGAAGCTGGTACAGAAGTTAAAGAAAGTAGCTAAATAAACAAGGCAGACAACAGCATAACAGAACGATGGAAGTCTGATGAATTAAATTGCATTTATTTCAATGCAAGAGGCCTGACAGGTAAGGCGATGAACTCAGGGCATGGACAGGAACATGGGACTGGGATATCATGGCTATTGCAGAAACATAGCCAAGGGAGGGACAAGTCTGGCAGCTCAATGTTCTGGGGTACAGGTGCGAGGAGGAGGATAGAAGGGGAGGCACAAGTGGAGCGGGGTGGGGTGGGGGGAAATGATTTTCTTGCTTAGGGAAAACATCACCGCAGTACTTAGACGATATTACCGGGAAATCATCCAGTGAAACTATGTAGGTGGAACTGAGAAATAAGGGAGGTGATCACTTTGATGGAATTGTACTATAGGCCCCCCAGTAGTTAACAGGAAATTAAGGAGCAAATATGTAGGGAGATCACAGATGCTTGTAAGAATCATAGGGCTGTAATAGTAGGGGATTTTAATATGTCAAACATAGACTGGGATTGCCACACTATTAAGGGCTTGGATAGGGAAGAATTTGTTAAGCACATTCAAGAAAACTCAATCAATATTTAAATGGCCGTACTAGAGAAGGGGGAAAAAACGTAACTGCCTCTTGGGAAGTGATTGAGGTGTTAATGGAGAAGCATTTTGGGACCAGTGACCATAATTCTAGTAGTTTTAAAATAGCTATGGAAAAGGATAAGTCTGGTCCACAAGGTAATGTTCTAAATTGGGGCAAGGCCAATTTTGAGGTTATTAGACAGGAACTTTCAAAAGTTTATTGGGAGAGGCTGCTCACAGGTAAAATGGACGTATGGCAAGCGGGATGCTTTCAGAAGCGAGAGGACAAGAGTTCAGGGCCAGCACGTCCCTGTTAGTGTGAAGGGAAAGGTTGGCAGGAGTGGGGAACATTGGATGACCAGAGATATTGAGGCTCCGGTCAAGAAAACGGAGGCAGCATATGTCAGGTATAGACAGCTGTGATCATGTGAATCCCTTGAGGAGTATAGGGAGTGTACATTTAAGAGGGAAATCAGGAGGATTAAAAAAGGGCCATGAGATAGCTTTGGCAGATAGGGTAAAGGAGAATCTAGAGATTCTGTAAGTATATTAAGGGGGGAAAAAAAAAGAGTAACTAGGGAGGGAACAGGGCCCCTTAAAAGATCAAGGCCATCTGTATGCGGAACTGCAGGAGATGGGCGAGACCCTAAACAAATATTTCATGTCAGTATTTACCATGAAGACAGACTTGGAATCTACTGAGATCAGGGAAGTAAAACTATGATGTCTTGAAAAAGGAGTCCATGTTACAGAAGAGGTGGTGCTGGAGGTCTTAAAAGGCATAAATTAGATAAATTCCCAGGATCTGATCAAGTGCATCCCCGAACATTGTGGGAAGCCAAGGTAGAAATTGCAGGGCTTCTAGCAGAAATATTTGTATCGACAGCTGCGGGTGAGGTGTTCGAAAACTGGAGGGTGGCTAATGTTGTGCCATTGTTTAAGGCAGGCTGCAAGGAAATCCTAGGAAACTTACACATCAGTGGGCTTAATGTCAGTGGTGGGCAAGTTGTTAGAGGGGATTCTGAGAGACAGGGTCTAAATGCATTTGGAAATGCAAAGACTAATCAGGGATAGACAGCATGACTTTGCGTGTGGGACATTGTCTCTCGAATTTGAGTTTTTTGAAGAGGTGACCAAGACAACAGATGAGGGCAGAGCGGTAGATGTTGTCTGCATGGACTTTCGCAAGGCCACTGCCATGCAGAACCTTGTAAGACTGGTTAGTAAGGTTAGATTACATGGGATCCAGGGACAGCTAGCCAACGGGCTAAAAAAAATTGGCTTCACGGTACAAGAGAGGGTGGCGGTAGATGGCTGTTGTTCACGAGGCCTGTGAGCAGCAATGTGCCATAAGGATTGGTGCTGGGTCCAAGGTTGTTCATCTTATATGGAAACAAATTTGACAAGAATACAGGACGTATGGTTAGTAAGTTTGTGGATGACACCCAAATTGGCAGTATAGTGGACAGTGAAGGTGGTTAAGTACAATGGGATCTTGATCAACTGGGCCAGTGGGCCGAGGAATAGCAGGTGGAGTTTAATTCAGATAAATGCGAGGTATTGCATTCTGGTGAGACAAATCAGTGCAGGACTTATTCAGTTAATGCTAGGGCCCTGGGGAAGGTTGTTGGATAGGGTGCAGGTACATAGTAAAGAACGGTGAGGTCACAGGTGGACAGGGTGGTTAAGGCAGCATTTAGCATGCTTGCTTTCATCTGTCAGAGCACTGCGTACAAGAGTTGGGACATCATGTTACGTCTGTACAGGACATTGGTAAGGCCACATTTGGAGTACTGTGTACAATTCTGGTCACACTTTTACA